TTGACTTCAGGTGTCAATGGTCGAGATAAATCTCACGGTCTTAGCATTGATATTAATAAGCTGGCTGGAGGTTGACACCTATTCCAATCGGGGTAGGAGATATTGACATAGTATTGTAGTAATTAGATGAGGAAGTATTGAATTACGTCGATTTTAGTATAATATAAGCTTTACAATAGTAGTAAGCAATTTTTGAACTCTTAAGCAATATAATAATTCCATATAAAAGGGAAATGCAGGGTAAGCAAATTAATAATGGTGGGAAAAAGAATATAAAAGGGAAACATGAAAAGTATAGGTGAACGACACTGGACGATACTGGGCGAGACGAGACTGGACGTTTTGTCGAAGAAACGTCGAGTTACGGTTTAGGTCGTTGATGTAAGAATAACTTTATACTTTTTGTAAGATTTAATTAATTTTTGTGTTAAATTATTATATTATATTTGACTTTGTGTTTAATACTTTTCGTAAATAAAATAACTATTTAAAAATCTGGGCTTAGCGTAAATATTTTATATTCACGGTGATCTCGAAATTGTGTGTGTGTGTGTGTGTGGCTAGAGTCTAGGTTGGACTGCTGGTCCTTTAATCAATCTTGATAATTAGTGTACGAGCTGGCTAGTGTTTGGGCTTAACCGTCCTATAGTGGGTATAGTAAAAAGGTAGTTGTGCTGGTGGCTGACAAGGAGCCACCCTTCAGTCTGCTACTTTTGAGCTAGACTATGCTATATATATATATATATAAAACATTAATAAATTTGTGTTAAACTTTTGTGTCTACGTTGGGGCACTACCGACATACGACAGTATTGTTGGTTTATTTATTTTCAACATAAATTGTATACAACAAATTATTAAAGATATAATGCAAACTGAAATCACATTAAATTATAAATAGTTACATAATTCCTAACCCTAATATCATCTAAAACAGCTTTCAATGTCATGATCAAATAAAAATTGAGTATTTATTTCAAATCTAATTTATCATTACAAGTTTGATTTTATCACTTTTTATTATAAGATAAAACATTCAAATTAATTTACGAGTTCAATTTGAATTTATTATCTAGTTATAGTCACATCTAATAATTTTAAAAAACTATTGTTATAATATAATGTTAAGTAACAATTTAAATTTAGTAATCATGTATAGTACTGAAGTGTAATTATATCTTAAAAGAATTTATGGATATTTATAGTTTATAATTAGGTCCCAATATTACCAAGGAAAACAACATTGTGAAAAAATCATACAAAAGTAAGAAAAAATATCATTAAAATCTCACTAGGATATGATTTAATTAAAATAATTTTTAATATTGATATTTTAAAATTTTTAATAAGTAAATTTGTCATTTTTTCTTTTCAACTGTCATATTTTTTTCAAAATAATTTTTTTTTATATATAAACCTCAGGTATTTTCCATTCATTTTATATAAATTTCCTGAAAACCTAACCCTTTACCTGAGCAAAGGAGCTGATTCCATATAGCAGCATTGTCACAAGAGCCAATTTTTAAGATTTAACTTATAAAAATGTTCCGAAAATACTGCGTCCTTTAAACATATGTGTAAATCAATGATATGTAAAAAAAAATATTGTCTCGCGCTTATCTTCTACATACTAATGGCTGCCATAGATAAAAAAATGCTATTTTTGTGTTAAAATTTTCGACTCTTTATTTCCAACTTTTAATAGCCACAGCTTTATAAAAAATGAATAAATCAATACAAATTTTCTTTTTTTAATACTTTATATATATTATTTTCATCCAACATACTTTTATTTAAATCGTCAATTTCATCTTATACAGAGGTGTTCCAAACTTGAAACATACGTATAAAATGTAAAACTTTTTTAACTTAACTTTTGAAAATTTTTTGGAAGTAATGCGTTTTTTAAATATATATTAAATTAAAACTTATGAGTGGAGTGACTAAAGAACATAAGGAAAAGATACGAGGGAGTATCGTATAACGTCAACCATAGCTAAGATAAGAGAAAATTGACTAAGATTGTTTAGTTTTGTTATGTGAAAATAAGAGACAGAAGCTGTGAGGACAGTTATAGAAATTAATTTTGAAGGAAGAATAGGTAAAAGAAAACCAAAATGAGATGGAAGTATGTTATTAATGTGATATAAGGATGGTTGATATATGCGTAGATGATGTGGGAGATCGTGTCAAGTAGAAGTTTAGGATAAACTCAGTTTAGATGGCAGACCCCAAGTAGTTGGGATAAAGGCAAAGAAAAAAAACCCAGCACAGGTAGGTGGTAGCACAGTGGTGACCTGGCATAATTGGATCAAGTAAAATGATATCTGACAGTGATTAAAATCACTATCAAAAAAAGGCTTCAATTTAAATCTTTAGATAGTGTTTAATTTTAAAAAAAAAACCCAGCACAGGGGGGTCGCGGCACAGTTGTGACGTGGTATAGTTGGATCAAGTATAATGATATCTGACAGTGATTAAAATCACTATCAAAAAAAGGCTTCAATTTAAATCTTTAGATAGTGTTTAATTTTAAAAAATTGATGGATTGTTCCAAAAGCTACATAATTTACTATTTCCTTATTAATATCCTGATTAAGATTAAGTATGTTAAATGAAAAAGGGATATAAATATTATTTCTCATAAAAAAATTGTGTTGATCCATACACTTTGCAATAAGTTATAGCATTATAAAGTTAAAAATGTGAAAAATAAAATCGAGAATTTTCACACAATAATAGCATTCGGTAGCCATTTTCACCGTGAAGACAAAATAAAGTCTTAATTTTTTTTTCCATAATAAAGTACATTACATTAGCTTTAATTTAAGATATATATAAAAGTATTACACTTTCCGGAACACTTTCAAAAAAAATATAAAAAAAACACATCTTAGTAAAACCAATACCTTCTCAGCTTCGCATCGAAGCTAAAAATCCCATATGTATCGATGGAATTACTCTTGATATACAGTGTTACCGTTATGTAGTCAGTGTTATTTTGAATATTCCATGAATCGCATCCAACTGATATTTTGCCATAATTGAAAGCCGCTTTATGTGATAAGCAACCAACCCTCAAAATTTAAAAAAAAGGTATTTCAATTGTATGAAATAAAAAATACCAAATTACGTATTTTGCAATATACAAACAAACCAATATTGAAGTCTCTCTATCAATGTATCAAAAACGAACTGAATAATTATGTCCAACTTCTATGTAACTTCAATTCTACCCTAATGGAACATTTATTGGATGTCTGCCTTGTTTTCCGAACGCCGTTCAATTGTCACTATATTTAATTCAGTTCCAATTGCATCGAAGATGAAAAAAAACCATTTTATATTCTTTAAATGCTGGGCGTTCAATTTCTTATAAAATAAGTTTTTAAAAAATATATATTTTGGATTTTGTTAGTCACATATGTGTCCTCATTTATCTATTAAAAATCAATTATAGGACTATCCCTTATAACTTATAAGGGTGTATACTTTATTTTTTTAAATAATAATACATATATTAAAGTAGCTTATAGTGTAGAAAATTATATAATTAAGAAAACAAGAAGATATTCTAATTGTTGTACCTAGACAGCAGAGAGAAATGACTATAGATAAAAATAGTAATATCCGCATTTCACCTTCAGTTTATATTTTAAAATTCTAATGACTTCAAAAATATTGGTTCAAAAAATGTTTTTTATATTATAAGCTAGTTTAATATGTTTCCGTTCAGAAAAAAAAAAGTTAACTCCTTTAAGAAAAACCTCTATAAGACAAAGATAATTCCAAAAATTATTTTATAACAGGTATAGCAACATAATTCTAACATTATATTTATTTTTCAATTAATTAAGTGATTCATAATAAGTAAATCTTTCTGTATATCCAAAAATCAATGGATGGAGAACCCAACCCAACTGACTGCATTTAAATTGAAACTACCAAAGAATTCATTGAATAATTTAATATTTTTTGTTTAATATATTTATTAGTATATAATTTATAATAATTATATATATTATTAATAAAATAATCATATGATTTTTTTTTCTTAAATATCTTTCAACTTCAGAATAATAGAATTGGTAATTCTAAAAATGTTTTAGGAATACTTTTATGTAATAATTAAGATGAAAGGCTAGTCAAATTCACAAAAAATATCTAAAAAATGTACTTAAGGACCTGCTAATTCCAGAATAAATATTACATTTTGAGATAAGTTATAATTTTAAGTTACAGGATACATTTAAATTTTTCTTATCAATAAACAATTTTATATCAAAACACAAACAAACACAAATTGTATTAAAAATATATTTTTTATTTATAAGAAAATAATAATCAAATTCATAAATCATACAACAGAAGGTACCTAAACAAAAATATAATAAAAATATTATATTAATATACATTATTATATTTAAAAAAATTCTTATTTTGACTAGCTTTACACAAATTTATAAAATTCGTATTCAAAAATATATTAATTAAAAAAAACATACAAAAGTTAATCTAATGGATCTAATTATATTTATATATATATATATATATATTTACAGTATAAGTACAAAGAAAACAAAGTTTATGATATTTCATACACTATGCATATATATAAATACATGATGTATGTGTTAATGTTACAATAACAATACATTCATTAAAATTAAGTTGGTATTTTTCTAACTTTGAATGTACACAAAAAAAAAAAAATGTCTATGATATTGGTTGCTTTATTTGAAATATCAATATTCTTGTTTCTACCAATAAATATCAATAATATGTAAATGAAGGATTTTTTTTTTCAAAATTTGAGCAATTATCACATTTTTGCAAACATTTAACATTAAATAAATTGAAATAATAAATATATATATATATATTATACCAATGTAGTAGTTAACTAGATTGAAATTGTAAAAAATACTATGCACATTGTAATATAGTTCTTAATATCAGTTCAAACACACAACATTGAATTGTTGCAAATAAAATTGAAATTACTTTTTAAATATTAAAAAGAAACACACACGTGTTAGTCACACACATGTGACTTTAGACGTCACATTTATTTTCAAATGTCTTTAAAAGATTCTTTTCAGTTAGAAAATCATCTTTAAATGTATGACATTTAAAAACATTTCAAATTCACTTCTGGGTACAATATACCTGCAGCGTAAGTCGAACAAACCATAAACTAATAATTTAATATTTGTGTTTTTTTTTTTAATGAAGTAACAGCACTAAACAAAATATAAATAATTTGTTTTTTTCACATTGACATTTTCTGTGGAATTTGACAATAAAACAATAATAGTAATAATAGTAGTAATAAAATAATGTTTGTATGAGACAGTAAAAACACAAGACTGATGCAATTGGACTAGATGCAGCGACAAGTCGCCATGGATAGCACAGAGGACCGAGTAGTGTGCAGGTCAGAAAATGTTGGATTTCTCCATCTGCACTGCGTTGTGTACTTGGAGCCTCCGAATCCTCGACTGCACCGACTCGCATTTTACTTCACTGCACCTGGCATACCTGCTTCCGCTGTTGGCTTTGATCTCGCGTATCACTACCACATTTCCATTTCTTTCTCGCATTAATTCCAGACCAACACAACGTTTGTCTTTGATCTCGTTCCGTGTGTCAAACACTTTGAGCCTGGACTCCGCTTTACAGTCGCCACTGGCAAACTGAGACATGGCTCGGGCTACGGCACCACTGCATTCTTTTGGCCATTTCCTTCGAGACGCCGCAGCATCCCACACGTTGAAACACGAAGTGGACATTTTCCCCATTCTGTTCGTTTGCTGACTCAAAGGTCTGCACCAAGCGTCCAACGAATCTTCTAGCGATATGATACTCGAACGGTCACTGCTCGAGTCTATGGAGAACTCGCTGACGGTATCGCTGCTACAGTCGCTAATAGACGAGTTGTCTGCGCTGCTGCTGTTGGGTGTGGACGACACGGAGGGCGCGCGAGGTCGATACTCCTGCGGAGGTTCGTCCACGACGTACACTCTCCGAAATGTAAACGGCGCAATGTCTTTGGTCAGGCCCACAGGCATAGTCTGTGTGCCGTTCGCTCGGCTCAACGTCCGACACGTTGTGGCGTTGTTGTTCGTGTAGGCAGCAGCGTCTTCGGTTTTCCCAATTGTACAGCTTTCGGTATTCAACTCGTGTTCCAGTCGTTTCACTAACGTCTCCATGTTGTCTCTAAACGACTTTTGCCTGGACATGCTCATCGCCGGTCTGGGCGAATTGTCGCAGCTCTTGGACAACAACATTTGTGGGATTTGTTTCACTACAGTAATCGTGTCGGTTTCGTCCACTTTTTTAGGAGTCTTCATCGGCTTGGTATCAGTTGTATTCTCTCTAAATGACGGGATTCGGGACATTGTTGTCGACATTCTTTGAAACCATGAATGAGCCAAGCATTCTTTGGCGGTGAGGCGATTCCTGGAAGAAAAAATCAATATTTTAAAATGCGATTCCTCATATTATATGTTTCATACGTGTACTAATTATTTAATTAACTAATTAATTCCAATACGATCATTAAAACTAGAAAATAAAGTTATCGTTAATGTTGTTTCGTTTGTTTTTATCAACGTCGGATGAATTAGGAGAGCATACAATAGGACGTTTAGGAATAACCAGAAATATAAATGGTATTGGGCTATCAGTGAACAGCAATTACAGTATAAAATAAGTCATCATTTAAATGATGCCGGAAGGAAATTCCATGACCCACTGAATAATGATAATTATTTATCAATAAAACGAGCTATTTATTTGTTTTGACGTTTTACTAGAACTAAATGCGCAGTCAGACACGTAAAGGAAATTACGGCGAAACCTATCGGTTTTATTGTCATTTGTGAACGAATCATCTTTAGTGATTTCTCGTCAAATCGAACCGAATTGAGAAAAATGGAACACATTAAAAACATTTCGAGAACGATTATAGATTGCTATCAAGTTAATTGAGAATTTTCGCAGACTATTCTTACGTGTCTAATGAACTAGATCCAGAGAAAATTAAAAAGATCGGAACAAATCGAACGCCACAAGTCGTTCCGGTACAAGTTCTATCTGTTCTATGACATTTGGCGACACATTTGGGTTAAACGTAATTACTGTAATTTACACGACATGAGGAGATTAACCATCGATTAACGTTTGTGCGTTTCGAATCGACAAACAAATGACAATGATAAGGAGAAAACAGCCAAACAGATCATTAGAAAATAAATAGATATTTTTAAATAATATACCATTTTACAAACATATTTTGTTTATTATTGAAGTCATCAGAGACTCATTGAAACTTACATAGTGAATACCGTAATAATTTAATACACACCTAGGGTTTTTCACCATCAGCTTTTTCATGAGATCAATTGCATCCTCAGATATGTCCTGAAATAGATCTTCAGGGAAATCGAGTTTACACTGTGATATATTGCAAAACGTCTCCTGTTTGGTATCACCGCCAAACGGTGAACATCCGGTCAACAGGACATACATTAAAACGCCAATAGACCTGTAATTAGTAAACAAGGCAATTTTTTAGTTAAGGCAAGAGTAAACTTTGTAATATAATACTTACCACATGTCGGTTTGCACGTCTATCGGTTCGTAGTTGAGCACTTCCGGTGCCACATAATCGGGCGTGCCGAGGATTTCTCGGACATCAACCCCTTCGCTCAGGTACCTGGATATGCCGAAATCACAAAGTTTAACATCACAGTTTGGAAAGTCGGCAGTCAATACTAAATTTTGAGGCTGTAAACAAAAATATACATTCACTTGTCTATTTGGAAAACGCTATAATAAAAATACAAGGTTTTAACAAAACGTATCTGTCTAAACAAAAAAAAACATATATTTTCAGTGTCTACACGAGTTCATGCCGATCGTTGACCGACCGACTCATTAGCGCATATCCAGTATTGTTTGTTTTAACTAAACACGTCTAAGCTTTTGGATATTGTGGTATTTGTAGCAAATGTTGTGTCAAATGCAACGATCAACAAGATTATATTCAGCGGTTTACAGTAGCCTAACCTTTTTAGTTATAAAAATTGAAATTTACTGAGAGGAATAACATTCTTCAATTTTAATGCTATAATGTTTTAGTAACTGAAATCTAGTTTAGTCAATTGACAGGAAAAACACAAAGTCGCAAGAATTTCTACGTAAAAAAAGAACATCTTAATGGGGGAGGGGGACTAGGTAGGTAATATTAAAATTTCGAAATTCGTTTTATTGTTACTGGCGAGAGTAAACAATTGTATATATTTTTCGATAACAATCGTCCAGTAATTTGAAAACAATTCATACGATATGAAAACTACCAACATACACATGCAGATAAGATGCGAGTTCTTATAAGGAGCACAATACATCAGCTGATAATCATGACGAGGTCGAACACGGTACGGTAAAACACAAAAATACGGATAAGAGAGTTTAATGTTGGCAAACAATAATCGGTCCATATGATTACGAATTACGGATTTGTGATCAATTACACAAGTAGATAACATTCCACTATTTAATTATACTGCATTACAATCTTTGTTCGTCACGGATTCGTGTGCGTGAATGTTAGTGAACTATGAAGAAATATTAATAGAAAATATCAACAATTACACCGTACGATGAGAACTCGATCGATGAACATCGCTGGCATTTCAACAACAACAAATAACTCAACTGTTATCATAATTAACTATTAAATACAACACAAAAGGCAAAATTATCTTCGATTCAAAAACAATGACTAAGCTGATATTATTCGTCCGGCAGTTAATAAATGGCTCGGAGAAAAACACATTTTACATGACAAAAGTCCAAACGTCGAGAAACCAATACTCGTACATTATAAAATATCACAACATTAGCCTGTAATCACACTAAGACAATAAACCAATGGAACATGCCAAAATCTAATATCACTCAATGTTTTTGTTGTATTTATTTCGAACTATTAGGAAACTCGTGTAATGCGCGTGGAGTGATTGACGTGGAATTTTGATACATATTTTTTAAAATATGTAGAGTTGGTTCGGTGAAACCTGAGTACATTTAACTTTATTATAACGTACTATATAGTTCCAAAATTTCTCGAGTTCGACGAGACAATAAAAACTGTTTAATAGCGAAAGTCATACACATACACAAATATTTAAGTACACGTGTACAATTCACTCGCTTCATTAAAAAATTATCGTATTTCTAGTTCTAAGGTCAAAATGAGTAGCAACAAAACCCGTTGGATGAGTTTTAATCGCTTTCCAGACGAAAAAAATTACCGGACCGTAAAGGACCGGCGACATGAGAACCAGGATGCATTAATAGTCGCGGCTAAACACATCAAAATAGTTCTCGGGAACAATAATATTAAATTGTGCATTAACAAAAAACCTCTTCCACTAAACAAATCTATAAAAGTTTGTCCGCTTAACATCTTCACGGTCAGTACACGCTATGTTTCCTGCCGCTTTTCAGGAATTTTTCACACGTAGTTAGTCTCATAAATTTTTCATTATTCTAAATAGCTGTCCTTTGCCGTTTAATACAACGACCCAACACAAATCTAAAAAATACTTGGTACACTCGATACCACTAATAATTAAATAAACCCAATGGATTGCTTTTGTTCCGTTCGTTAACCTTTGAGCAGCATCATTCACGTGCACGGTTTCAATTGTTGCGTACAACATCAATAATTGTATCTTAACTCATAAACAAAAATGGCCAATTTAACACGGTGATATATTATATTACATTCAAACGTACTCGTCGTATTTGATCAAACAAAAACCAATAAGATAATATAAAATCCTAAGTCGTTTTGTGTACACAGAAGAGAAATTAAACTAGTTAACGTCGTGAGCGTCAACATAGCTTACACAATTAGTAAGTCTGTACTTGTAACAATCAAGTGAAAAATGGTATAGACGAGCTAAAATTTCACCAAGTAAGCCTTGCAAAGCATTGGATGATTTTTGACTAGTATTACAAAAATAACTTTTATCCAAATGGAAGGCGAGCAACCATAAAGTGACAGTTTCTTTTTAGAGTCCACGCGGGACACATAACAATAAAATATTATTTCCAATTAAACAGTCCGTTTATTTCGGCAACATCATTGATCGTACACAGCGATTGTCGAACCCGCACATAAACTGGATCCACTAGTGTTGAAGGCCAAAGACAGACTATTATATTGGTAATCTGGACTGACCTACCTGAATTAATTTGTTTAAATGTGTCTAATTCAGGTTATCTCGACGAGAATATCTCAAAGTTGGTATAATAAAGATGTAGACGAGTAACTTTGTCTCATACACAGCAATCTGGTTTTTATGGGTTATATGACGGCGTAAAAAGTATTTCAACAGTTCCATTCATCATCTCAAGTCCCCCCACGCTTACTAACAAACGAAAGGAAAAAAATATTAAATGCTATTATCAACTGGCGACGACGAGATGAAAGTAAATCAAAGAAGGGTTTGAAGTGTTTTACAACCGTTACCGACTTATAGTAAACCGAACAAATGTATTTAATACATCACATTGACGCCATATACGTACTCAGATAATGGCTGAACATTAAAAAATGGAAATAAAATAAGTTTCAAACGATACACCAGCTTCAAAGAGATGTATTCGTTAAGATACAATTAAGAAAACCATCATCGAGGCTTTTTTATTTTTTTATAGTTCTCACCTTGATGTCTAAATGCGCCACATTTATGGTGTGCAAGTAGTTTAAACCATCGAGTATTTGTTGCATGAGTCGAGCAACTTCTATCTCGGACGGCACTTCGTCCCTATCGAGTACCATTTGTAACTCTCCTCCAGGTGCCCTAGAAAAATAAATCATCAATATTAATATATTAAGATTACTAAAATAATGTACAAAATTTAAGTTTAATTCAGCAGAAAACTATGAATAGATAAAAATTATAACTAGATTAGCAAGTATTTTTTCCACGTGTAACACTTCGATATTCTAAATAATAATTTAGAACTTCGAGTAGAGAAACTTATGTTTGTTTTAAGGATTTGAGGTTATTATTTAATTAGTTATTAAGTCTAAAGCACATTTATCGAATGTAACAATTATTAGTTTTGATGTTAATTTAATTAAAAAAAAAAGCGACTTGTGCAACATAAACATTACATAATATATTGGCAAAAAAATGTACGGGTCATGATCTCGATGTGCTTTTATTTCCATTAGCAAAGATGCATCATGTTTTTTTTTTTAATTGAGAATGTTATGTAAAAGTAATACTTCGTGTCACATAACAAGAAATAATGCGCACATAACGACGCCGAATACTTGTAAGTAGATATACTGCACTTTTTCCCAACTATTTATGACTTGTAAAATTTAAAATATATTAGATGGACACACGCTGATAGTGTTGGATTAAAACCAAAATACTATCATAGTGGAGTAGTAGTTAAACTTAATTGAATTCATTCATATTAATCTAATAAGTAATAACACGGCCGTATAGTAGCTGGGTGTATAATAATTTTATGAGTACGAGTGTTGTATTAAGTTTTTTGGACGTATGCCAAAGTAGACTTTAATCGAATTTTTAAACGACTCCTACGCTGTACAAGTATTATGTAAACGCACAAATCCGCTGCACGAGCGGCCACAGCACACCTCCTAAATGACGAATAAATCTTCCCTTATATTGCACTCCATGAAGTCAAGTCATAGTTCAGATGCACGAGAGTGCCAAATAGAAAGGATGACAAAAATATATAATTGTCCTTTTATTTACATATAAATTGTCATGGCTATGGTGAACACTGAGAAGGTATTAATCCTAAATCTAGAGACATTGCTGCATTACACTTACATTTCTAGTAATAAGATCATTTCTGTAGTCGTTTCGAACACTTTGTATAGATTGACTATGCGACTGTTGAATGTGCACGCCTCGAGCACAGCCACCTCGTGAAGGATTTCGGGTCGCAAATCAGCATTCCGCCGCCGTTTCCTGAGGAACTTTGCCGCATACTGTTTACCTGTTTTTCTGTTTCTGCACCTTCTGACGGTCGCATACTTGCCTCTGAAAAAAAAAACAAACCGTCGTTAATACGCTGAACAAAAAACATTCAGGTAACATCAGAGTAAAATTACTGAACACTGTTGTAAAATTGCACGTACATGTTATGTAATTCAATTTTAATGTAAAATACGCTGCGCAGGAAACTTACCTATGGGCGTCTTATTATAGGAAATTGTACGGATTCGCGCGTATGCGAAATAAAAAATCTTAAATCCTACGGAAGCCGGGCACTCCTTGGACGCATAAAATATAAATAATAAAACAAAACAGCACGAAGATTACTGCATACCCTGTCGACGCTACACAAATAATGTTTAGCATAATTTAATGGCAATAATTTATTATTATAATTATGTCGGAATCAAAATTGCGCAGCGAGTGAGCTGCACTGTGCAGGGCACAATGAAATGGGCGAGGTGTACCGGCCCGAATTTGGTTTGTGAAAAGAAACATTTTGGCATGTTCGGAACAACTTCCTGGACGATTTTTTACTAGACAAAAATAAGTAAAACGCAATAACAACGACTGTCATGCCTACAGTCGCCCAACGCGCGTGTCCACCCACCCGGTGTTATTTCGACACGAACAAGGTTTGTGCAAGCGTTTAAACAGAGATTTTCCCGAGATGATCTACTCTCGATAATAAGAATCGGAAGAAACCGATGCAGTAGAGTTGCGTCACGCACTATTGGCGCCTATCAAGGCCACGACNTAATATATTGGCAAAAAAATTTACGGGTCATGATCTCGATGTGCTTTTATTTCCATTAGCAAAGATGCATCATGTTTTTTTTTTTAATTGAGAATGTTATGTAAAAGTAATACTTCGTGTCACATAACAAGAAATAATGCGCACATAACGACGCCGAATACTTGTAAGTAGATATACTGCACTTTTTCCCAACTATTTATGACTTGTAAAATTTAAAATATATTAGATGGACACACGCTGATAGTGTTGGATTAAAACCAAAATACTATCATAGTGGAGTAGTAGTTAAACTTAATTGAATTCATTCATATTAATCTAATAAGTAATAACACGGCCGTATAGTAGCTGGGTGTATAATAATTTTATGAGTACGAGTGTTGTATTAAGTTTTTTGGACGTATGCCAAAGTAGACTTTAATCGAATTTTTAAACGACTCCTACGCTGTACAAGTATTATGTAAACGCACAAATCCGCTGCACGAGCGGCCACAGCACACCTCCTAAATGACGAATAAATCTTCCCTTATATTGCACTCCATGAAGTCAAGTCATAGTTCAGATGCACGAGAGTGCCAAATAGAAAGGATGACAAAAATATATAATTGTCCTTTTATTTACATATAAATTGTCATGGCTATGGTGAACACTGAGAAGGTATTAATCCTAAATCTAGAGACATTGCTGCATTACACTTACATTTCTAGTAATAAGATCATTTCTGTAGTCGTTTCGAACACTTTGTATAGATTGACTATGCGACTGTTGAATGTGCACGCCTCGAGCACAGCCACCTCGTGAAGGATTTCGGGTCGCAAATCAGCATTCCGCCGCCGTTTCCTGAGGAACTTTGCCGCATACTGTTTACCTGTTTTTCTGTTTCTGCACCTTCTGACGGTCGCATACTTGCCTCTGAAAAAAAAAACAAACCGTCGTTAATACGCTGAACAAAAAACATTCAGGTAACATCAGAGTAAAATTACTGAACACTGTTGTAAAATTGCACGTACATGTTATGTAATTCAATTTTAATGTAAAATACGCTGCGCAGGAAACTTACCTATGGGCGTCTTATTATAGGAAATTGTACGGATTCGCGCGTATGCGAAATAAAAAATCTTAAATCCTACGGAAGCCGGGCACTCCTTGGACGCATAAAATATAAATAATAAAACAAAACAGCACGAAGATTACTGCATACCCTGTCGACGCTACACAAATAATGTTTAGCATAATTTAATGGCAATAATTTATTATTATAATTATGTCGGAATCAAAATTGCGCAGCGAGTGAGCTGCACTGTGCAGGGCACAATGAAATGGGCGAGGTGTACCGGCCCGAATTTGGTTTGTGAAAAGAAACATTTTGGCATGTTCGGAACAACTTCCTGGACGATTTTTTACTAGACAAAAATAAGTAAAACGCAATAACAACGACTGTCATGCCTACAGTCGCCCAACGCGCGTGTCCACCCACCCGGTGTTATTTCGACACGAACAAGGTTTGTGCAAGCGTTTAAACAGAGATTTTCCCGAGATGATCTACTCTCGATAATAAGAATCGGAAGAAACCGATGCAGTAGAGTTGCGTCACGCACTATTGGCGCCTATCAAGGCCACGACCGTTGAGAAAGTTTGTCACAAGTTAATCGGGATAAAACAATTAGTATTTATAGGCTACAGTTGTACAATGCAGTGGTTTTTATGCGGCTAATATAATTAAACAGTTGCGTTGCGCAACGTTGTGGTTTATGTTGATTTTTTTCCCCCGTTAACTTTTATACGTCATAACAACAATGCCCCGCGTTGAAGTCTTCGTGCGGCCCGTAACACGGTACAACTTCCAACTAAGTGTTTTGAAGTAAAAATAAAACAGAATAGTAAATCAGTTTTCACACGTGTCGAGAAACTATAAAATGTTAAGACGCAATAACATAACATAATGACGGTGATTTTTCATTGTTTTTTAAGCAATATAAAAAGAAACTACTAGCCGCCTTTTAGGAATTTCGTAGGACATTTAATTTTTGTAAAATGAATATTTCGACAGTATTTCAAGAACTATAAATGTTTAATGAGTAATCATTAACTAATCAAGGTAAACGAAGGTCGCTACTGTTTTTCAAAGAAGTAGGATAAATTTAGTAAGTAATTATAGTTTTCCCCGTTTGAGAACTATAGAATAAAAAATTCTTTTGAAAAAATCCGCGTTGGTATGGGAAATAAAAATGAGTATCATGATGCTGTTTCATGTGACTAATTGAAACGCAACATTATTCAACGTTGTCTAAAAAAAAAAATCTTGTTTATGTCAAATACAATTTAGAGAATATAATTGAACACCGGTGGTCATTCAATTGGTTACAATTACACACATATATTGTATAAAACAACAATGGTAGTTGTGTAAACGGAGAATAATGGCACACTGCGACAAAGCAGCAACTGTTCAAAGCTATGAGTGGCTGCCGGTTTAAACTTTCTACATTTGATCCGAAAGCAAAAATAAATGTCCTCTAGAATTACAGAGTCAATAGAAAAAGTGTCCATTACCTCGGAATGCGCTATTTTTAAGACTTGAAACAAAAACAACGAATAATTTTTGTAAAAAGGAAGTAGCGGAAAACATCAAGTCTAGTTAATAGTACTATGGTGCAATAGTTTCAACGTGCGCGTCAGATGAATTCTTGGGGAGGGTATTACTCGAACGCGGAAGTACACACAACACCAACTGCAGTTTTCACTATTCTATTGTCATTTAACCGACCGTTTTGTGCATTGTAAACGACTTAAACAGTGTCGCAATTAGAAGAACGACACAAATGTTTTTCGTTTACCAAGAGGAGAATCGTCAATGTATACATACACTATCGAATATATATATGTTATTGGCTGTAAATATCACACGTACACTCGTGTAAAAGTGTTATTAATTGTATACGTAAATAGAGTGTGATCAGCGGCAGAGACGGAGCCTATCTATTGTGCAACATGTCTCGTGTTCTTTTGTCACCCAGTATTTGGTTTGCTTTCACTGTACACCACTACTGCTCATAGTCACAGATGAGCACATTCTGGTCGTTGTGTATATTTCGGACGTTGTAAAACACACAAGTTCGGTACGAAAATCGAAACTAAAAACTTTGAATACTACACGAAAAAAAAACTACCAAGGCCGTATGATTTGCATGCATCAAAGTGATAGTAAAAAGTATATACATATTCATTAATTTGTTATTCATTTCGGGACAACGCTTATCGGTATTTTTTGTTTTATGACGCGCGTGCGATAAACAAACACAGGTGTTGTCAGGCTGGCGCACTCGTTAAAAAACGACCGAGAACCGAAGGTGTAATATTGTCATTAGATTCAAAGTCGACACGCACGCGCCGTGTTCGGCAAGTCCACAGAATAGAAGAGCACATCATTACTGGTCGTGATCATTCTGTGGACTTGAACAACACCACAAACGGCCGACGGTAATAAAAGTCTGAAGCAAAACAAAAGTTTCACCGTCGCGTCCAGAGAAACGCGTTAATTGCAAATGGGCGGAGGACACACGTTTACCATGTAAGAGTTAATTTTCCGGGTCCGTTCGATTAGAATGTACCGACGAACATTAGAATAATAATATTGTGTGCGGTTCGAGCGCAACCGACGACGAGTTTACTTTTTTATACCAACAACAATACCGGATTGGTTTCTAGTCTGACAAACATTAAACGCGAACGAAATTTTATCCATTGCGACGGCAACGGAGAAAATAAAAAACGATTCAACCCGTTTAAATAAATGTACACTCAAAACACACATACGGAAACAGTGCTAAACTATACACGCTGACAGTGCTAAACGACGATGACACTAAAACAATCGCACGGATACCACGTGCAATTACTGCAACGGTCGAGCTCCGTAATTAAAAAATCGTCTACCCGCAAAATTAATGTAATTTATTCTCCTATCCCCAAGTGATTTTAATGTTCTCGGTCGTTTTTCTGGTACTTTTCACGCATCCGAGATCAAATTTTACCCAATACAAATCGTAGTTGACCGTTTTTTTATACACTCAAAATCCGGTTGTACAAAAATGGCACGAGGAAAGAAAGCCGGCAACCATCGTGTGACGACCCTTCAAGGTACTTCCTAAGAATCGAGTTACCACCTCGCGTACCCATCGGTGGAAGAAGAACCTTCGAAAGGTCGGCCCAATGACTGCCAAACGACCCGATCGGTATTACTCTCACGTGTTCAACGCGACCGTTGAACTACACAAGTGTGTGCACGACATTCACATGACAAAACGGTATACGAGTGGCATAAGCAACTAGACGATGAGGTCATTCGGTATGAAGAGGGAAAAAATGATCGACTCGGCCCACATAGGTCGCAGCTCCGTTGACCGCGTTTCGATTGGAAAATTGACATGTCACGACTTGCTGCCGTTAGAACACAACAGACCCTTTCGTTGTACGTTAGCTGTTAGCATTGGCCTTGTCCCAAAGTGACGGTTGTTTGATTTTTAGCACATTTTGTTACGACACACACGCGCGCGCAGATGGAACGTCTGCACGACTCACGCGGTGGCTACAATTTTATTTAAAACCGAACGCGATTATGCAAACAACAACACAGATCACCTTTGAAGTTAATGTCCTTGCCGTCCGTTTTTTATTTAAGCGTTTAAACTCGATCAATTCAACACCTGTTTTTCAATCGATCGACGCGCAACGTTGTTTATCAACTTGGCCACCAAAAAGTAAATGATAATATTTTTGTTTGTACGAGTGAAATATTTTTCAAATTACATGATTTTAGGGCATTGTTTAACGATTAGAAAATATGTTACTGGGGAATAACTCGGCAGTTAAGAACTATAGATTGTTGCCATAGGCTAAACATTAGAAACAAAAAACAAAAATGTTATTAGAAACTTGTTTGGGTATTGATAATTACAAATACTGCAGCGATGTGTTCTAAAATAGTGAATTTCTAATACAAATATGAAATCATTCTGACGTTTCGCTGTTAATACCGTATTATCACGACCCTTAGTATACTATCTTAATATTAGCTGCATTGATATCTTACATTTAATCACGAGATTTTTATCGTCGCACCTAATATTACGAACGGTAATGATCAGAACCGGAATTTCATAAATAATTATTCGGATTGGAAGGGGTTATTGAGAGATTTCCTAGTAATCTCCAATCAAAATCTGTTATTAATTACTTGTTGAGATAGAAAGGTTTTACAAAAAGGTGTAAGAAAAAATTAAACAAGTTTATTACACGATTTCTCAAGCTATTATTATTTTTCAACAGTACAGTTGCCACTGACTGTTAAATTGGTTCATGCACCACGAGTACCCTTCACACATTATAGAACATCTTACACATAGGTGTATTTTTATGTCATTGACTTTATACGCCACCAGCTATTTACATGGCACGTCCGTTGAAATAATACTACAAACCTATTTCCTTTGTAATATTATTGTAGCAATATGAAATTACATTACGCATGAAAAAAAAGGCACGCGTTTTTTTGTTGCTTACAGAGTATTCTAAACGAGTTAGTGTGTATTAAGCACGCAAAAAAACAACACAATTCTCAATTGTACATTGTCCACAAAAGTAATAATAACACATAGAAAGACTAACATTGTACAGAGATCGAGAGAATAAAAAATAGATATGACAGTTATTGTTCAATAGTTGTGCAGCACACACAGACGTATTGCGACTCTGGAGAATCGTAACACGTCCGAAAGGACATCGGACTGTCATCGTTGTCGGGTCAAGGACACTTCGGTTACCGGTGGTTTTCTAATGGTCGCACATCGCAGCCACCAGGCCGTTGACTCTCCCCCGCATTACTCGCAGTGTTTAAAAGGACCTCCTCCTCC